GCCAACGTCGTCATCATCATCAGCAGCAGATCATTATCATTTTCAGTAGCAGTAGCTGTAGTAGCACAAGCATAATCATCATAACCAACGTTATCAGAATCAGCTTCATCATGGTCAGCATAATCGTGGGCATCATCATCCTCATCCTCATCGTCAACATCAAACATAATCGCACTCATCATCGTCAACGGCATCATCATCAAAGCCAGCATCGCCATCATCATGCTATGTGGCCATTTGGGGCGCAAGCCATGTTGGCTCAAGTATGCTTCGCTGCTGCGACGCTCGGCTGCTGAGTTGGCAGACTCTTGATCGAAGCCGAATCGGCATGTATCTCCGGATTCCGATCCGTATTTGATATGCCGACTGCACCGGGCCGTCCGCCGGGCGCCATGGAGGTCGCATTGCATTGCTTCAACATGCCGCCAGTGTGCACCGCCAATGCATGCACGTAGTGCTCACGCTGGTCGCCACGGCTACGTGCAGCGTTGCTGCAGCTTGCCCTTGATCGTTGGGAGTCTCGCCCCGCTCCACCCACATCTCGCACGCGCCCTTCGTCGGCACGGGCGCCGCCTGCAAGGACACCGATTGGTGCGTGCATGGTCGCGGGAGTAGTCGACGTCACCGCTGCGGTTCTTGCTGCCGCGCGGGCTGGAGCCCCCTGGCCCTTTGGCCGCTCTCCCCGTCCCTGCCATGGGCCCGCCAGGCCAGGCCCACGAGCCTTACAGTGGAGTCCCATGCCAAGAGACACCCTGCTTGCCTCCAGGGTGCCCTAGGTTCCTTGGGATTCGATGGTTTTGCTGTGGAAAGCGTGGGGGTCCCACACCAGAAATCAATGGGCGTCCTGGGGTCGCAGGGCTGGGTCTCTTGTGAAAGGCTTCTTGTGGCCAAGCTCCTATAGTAAAGGGCCCGCCAGGCTCACGAGCCTTACTCCCCACGCTCCTCGCCCTGCACATGGGAAGCCTAAAGCTGCACGCCAAGCTCTTCGAGCTCGGCCTCTCGGCCTACGGGATCCACGGCAGGAGCTCGTCGTCGGCCCCCAACGCACCGCGAGAGATACCCCTCCAACTGCACGAGGAGCACGGAAGCGGCCCTCAAGGGGCACCCCGAACCTTGCATGACCAACCTCCCGTTCCTCGAGATGCCCTTCCCAGTCGTCGCACTGCACGTCATTGGGCTTGTGGCGGAACGCCAAGCCATGCAGACTCGAACCCCGCGATGCTCAAAATGGTTAACTCTGGCTCGTCGAAAGGGCCAGCACGGGCCCGAGGCGGGTCTCCAAGCCCTGCCAACTCAGCCCCACGATCCTCGGAATGATCTGCCAGCTCTTCCAAAAGTGACCGCCATCTGCCTGAGGCGGAGCCTCAGGCCTTGCCAGATCGACTTCACGATCGTCGAGGTGAGCCTCGAGGGCGTCGAGCCGAGCGTGACGGGCTCGAGGAGGCCCCCCCCAGCCTTGCGAACTCAGCCTCACGATCGCGGGGTTGCCCCTCCAGGCCCTCGCGCTGAGCATCACAGGTCTGAGGCGGAGCTACAGGCCCAGCCAACTCAACCTCACGATCGCTCGGCCGATCTTCCAGGGCGGCGCAGCGACCAATCTGGGTCTGAGGTGGGCCACCAAGCCCTGCGAATCCAACCTGACGTCCTCAGCATGACCTTCAAGGTCGGCACACGGAACCTATGGAGCCACGCGCGGCACCACGAGCTTTGTGAATTCAACCTATCTTCGGGACGGGCTTCGCGAACATCGCCATGAACATCACGGGCATGAAGCTGCACACCACGCCCTGGCTGAACAACCTCACGATCCTCGCGAATCACTTCTGGCGCTGCTGATTCACTTTCCGTTGCAGGAGAGGCGCTGCGCTGCGTAACGTCACGGAGGACGCCTCGACGAGGCTCTCAAAGCAAATGTTGAAATCCTGGAATGCCGCGCTGTCTGTCCCCCTGGCGACGATCGAGTCGGCCCTTTGACAAGCTCTCGGCGAACTTCATTTGGATCTCGGCTGTTCTGATCCTGATCCTCCTCCTCCTCCTCCTCCTCCTCCTCCTCCTCCTCCTCCTCCTCCTCCTCCCCCTCCTCCTCCTCCTCCAGGCTACTTTAACTCCGCGCCCTCTCCTCCTCCTCCTCTTCCTCCTCCTCCTCCTCCTCCTCCTCCTCCTCCTCCTCGTCCTCGTCCTCGTCCTCATCCTCCGCCTCCTGGTTCCTCTGGTCTGCGGCAAGCCGCGACCGCTCAGTTCGCATCCCACATTCGATGAGTGAATCGTCTGGCTTGCGGCCGGCGCAGTGGCGGGAGATGCGTTGCCTTCCCTGGCGGCTTCACACGCAGCAGCACACAGCAACACTCCATAATGGTAGACACCATTGCTTGCTCAGGCACTCCTGGTGCCGAAGCAGTGTATTTGTGTTTCCTGCTTGAGTCCAGGGCCACTGTTCACTTTCGGGCCAGGATTTTGCACCCCAACCGGGTGCCGCGTGCCTCCTCCCGCGGCCCCCTCC